TGGAAGCATAGACAGATAACCTCAGCTGGCCAGCATCACACAGCAAGTGAAATCAATGCTGGGCTGTGAACCCAAGTCAGAGTCCAGCTGTGTCCTTCCTGTCTAGCTGGGGAGGGGCTTGATGCTGAAATCATAAACCTTAATTAACCAACACATACAGGCACTTCCCAAGGAAAACAGAGGGCTATATCTACCAAGGGTGCAGACAGCAAAGGAATAGGGATACCCCGAGTTTTCCTGGGGGAGGCCTGTTTTCAGAGGAGTGTGTTGAAACGAGAGCTTGTCCCAGGTACTGGGCAGTGAGGCAGGAGCCCAAAGTTCTGCTCTATTTCTGGTGTCCCATTGCTGTGTGACCTTGGGTGGGCCCTGACCCTCTCTGGGCTTTCCTTTTCTCATCTGTGGATTAGAGCATCTCATGGGTCATTGCTTATTCTCACTTTCTCAGGAATCCAGAAGCTCCAGCACCAAACTCTTTTTATTAACTATTCATAAAAAAACAAGGCTGTGACTTATGGAATACTTGCTAGAATTTTAACCAAGACCACAAAAAGAAATGCTGGGTGACCTGAGAGAAACACAGCCCCAGCACTGGGGCTGGGTCACCTGGAGTCCTGGATGTGGCCTTGGAGTCTGTCTATTCCTGGCCTGGTCCCATCTGAGGTTTCACCTGGCACAGGTCGGGCTTCCCCGGGAAGCAGGTGCTGAGACGTGGTCAGGAGAGCAGAAGGAAAGAGGAGGTGGCGGCAGCGTCTCCAGTAGGGGGAGCCAGTGGACCGACAGAAGCCAGCTGCAGCTCTGCCTCCCTCCGGGCACTGCCACGGACTGCGTGGTGGGTGGAGCCCACCAGGTGCTGGGTCACTGTCTAGCTCAGTTCCATGTCCCCCTCCCTGGATTGAAAGCTGAGGCTCCCCAGGAGGCTATTAGCTCTTCGCACTCCTCAGAGCCGGTGGGCAGTGAGTCCTTAAAGCGGGGAAAGGGATAGGCCTGGAGGCAGGGAGCTGGAAAACCTCGGCCTTTGGGGAGGAGAATACAGCGTCAGCACTCCCCTCCCCTGGGCCCAGGGCTGGATCTAAAGAGAACAGCAGCTACAGGTTACAGCCCAGGTGTGTGTGTGCAAATGTATACCAGGATATGCGTGTGTTCAGTACAGGTGCACTGTGGGTGTGCACATGGATGTGTGTGCACATATACATATGGGGTCTAATACTTTCCACAGCCCTCAAGGGTAGGCAGTGAGTTCTTAACACCCATCTTATAATGAGGAAACGTTTGCATCCCCAGGGGCTCACAGCTTGTAGGGAGGACCCGTCCATCTCACAGACTCGCTTACTGAGCACCTCCATGTGCCAGGCCCAGTGTTGGGTGAACAAAGGAAGACAGAGGTTGCCCAGAGACAGGGCATTTGTCAAACTTCTGCACACACTTAAATTATGTTGATCCAAAAAAAAAAAAAAAAAAAGAGAGAGAGAGAGAGAATATACTTACTATGCTTTGAACTTCTTGTAAAAGTAATTTAATTAACGATCTTTAAAAATTGTTCACACTGGTTGAAAATCACAGGTCTAGGGACAGGAGACAGTAAATTGATGGGTTGGCTGGGAAAGTTGGTTCAATTCCTCCTGCCCCAGGGTTGACCAGGGGAGTAGGCTGGAGGCTGAGACTTTGGTCATGGTCAGGCAGGCTCCAGGCTGAAAGAGTGTGTCAGGGTGGAAAGCAGGACAGGGCGCCCTTGTACTTTGAAGCCTTCCCCACCTCCTCCTGGCCCAGCTAGACAAGAGAGTGAAGCCAGACTCTGAGGGTGTTCAGCCTGGGCTGGGGTTGGGAGTGTCCCTCAAAACTCCGGATGCCTGGTTCTACCCCTGCCAAATCAGAATCTACTGGGCTGGAGCCCAGGAGTCTGTATTTTGGCAGATGTCCCAGAAATTCTGACATGTAGCCATGTTTGGGCACCTTTGTCTAAACCCCTCAGGCTGCTTGGTAGACCTGGAGTCCTTGCCTGCCCCATCTGTGAAGTGGGCTGAGTTGCTGAAGAACATTCCGGGGAAGGGAAAGAAGGGTCCTGCCATCCCCTGCCTCCCACACTTCTTTTCCTGAGTAGGGTGGAGGAGCTTGGAGCGGGTGGGGTGTGGGGGGAATGCAGTAGTTATTCCAGTCACATGAAGAATACGTGTCCCCCTATTTCAATGTGGACTTCCTGGGAGTAGGACTCAGGTACGCCATGGCAGTTGCCCTGGGGGAGCTGTCTGGGAGGGAGTGAGGGGTGCAGATGGTGAAAGGGAAGCAGCCCTCAGAGTGGGTCATCCAGGGCCTGACAAGCCTATGGGAACTCTGGAGCTGGGCCCCCCACATGTGGCTGTGGCCACTGCAAGGTAAGGGCCAATCTTGGGTGACCAGGATGGTGTCCCATTGAGGAGTAGGGCGAAGGGCAGGGCTGGGGTGGTCCCTGGACACCTGGGCTGCTGTCACCCCTAGGACTGGGCTCAGGACCCTGTGAGTGCCTCAATCCTGCTCCCTACACACCAAGCAGCAAGCTAGGGGGGAGGGAGGGGTGGAGACAGCAGAGCAGACTCAGGCCCTCCTTATCCTTCCTCCCCATCAGGCCCTTGCATGCATGGGGAGGGGTGCAACTGGACACACCTCAAGACTTTCCTCCTTGGGGGCAGGAGTCAGCCCCTCTCAGGGGACTCCAGGCCTGCACCTTCAGAGGCCAGCTGCACATTCTTGGGGGAGAGGTGATCTTTTCGTCCTGAACTCCCACTCTGGAAGCCTCGGCTCTGTCTGGCCCTTCCCCTCAGGCCTGGCAGAGGCTGTAGCTGCCCCCGGCAGGCCTAGTGACGCAGGTAGCAGCAGGGAGGCTGCACAGGCTGAGGCTGGGCCAGGGCCTGTGGAGTCCCCTCTGTCCAGGCCAGATGGCCACTGGCTCCAGGGGGAGGGGCTGCCAGCACCTCAGGTCTGCAGCCTGGCCGGGTCCTTTGCCCTTCCCTCGCCTAGCCCATGCCTTCAGCTGCTGTTTGTTGTGGGGCTGTGCTTCTACCCCAGCAGCTGGAGCATTGAGACACCCACTCCTGCCCTACCTCACAGCCCCTCACTCCCACTGGGGCCTGTCCAGACCCCACAGTGTCACATCTACTCACTAGTGCCCTGCAGGAACCTGGTGGGGTGGTCTGGGCAGCAGGGTCTTTCCTTGTGGAGTCCCATGCTCCTCTACAGTTCTGGCTGGATCAACCTCTCATTAATTCACTCATTCATTCATTCCTCTAACAAATCAAGCACCTATACACAGATGAACAAGGCAGATGAGGTCCCGGTCGTCCTGAAGCTCTCACTCTACTGAACAGAAAGTTAGTTCTGGGCAGCGCCTGTGGCTCAGAGGAGTAGGGCACTGGCCCCATATGCTGGAGGTGGTGGGTTCAAACCCAGCCCAAGCCAAAAAAAAAAAAAAAGAAAAGAAAGAAAGAAAGTTAGTTCTAGGCAGAAAGAAAATTGTAGGAGGCCCTGTGGAGGGTGAGTGGCATGGTGGGACCAGTGTGTGCTTTGGTGGAGGGTGAGGCGGAGAGAGAGGGGTGGTGGGGCTGGAACCCCAAGGTCTTATAGGAGCTTTGGGGTTCTGCAAGGCCTTTGTAAAGAGGAGAAAGATAAACTTAGTTCACATTCCTGTGGGTCCTCCTATGTGCAGAGCATCGTGACATCACCTGACACAAGCCAACCCATTCAAACTTCCTAATGACCCGAAGGTGGGTCCTATAATTTCACAGAAGAGGAAACTGAGGCACTGACAGGTTAAGTCACTTGCTCAGTGACATACTGAGCAGGGCTGGGATTTCCAGTGGGCAGCCCAGCTGCAGAGCCCTAACCATTGTACAACACCGCCTCTCTGGATGCACTTCCTCCTTTCCAACTCAGCCTCCCCCAGGAAGCCTTCCCTCACCCCAGAGTTTGTCCCAATTAAGCAACACATAAATATACCACATTGCCTAAAAACCTACAGGGTCCTCAGGAGGTCATCTTCTCAATGCCTCTGCTTCCAGATGGATGTGGTCATTATAGTTCCATTTTGCAGGTGAGACTACTGAGGCCCAAAGAGACATGACCATCATCTAGAGACAGTGAGGGAACTACAGCCATGGTCTCCTGAATCCTTCCACTCAGCTGACCTCTCCAACCCCTCCTGTCCCCACTTTCAGACAATTCTGAGGGCAATTCTCTTTGTCTATCCTCCACCCCTGCCCTTCCCCCAGCTAGACGGGGAGCCTCCCCTGTGCCTACTACACAGTGGTGCACACAGCAGGGGCATACTCAGTGTCTGTGGATGAAGTGGGTGCATGAATGCAGGGACATTCTGGCTTGGTGCTGCTGTTCTGTTTGGGATGCCCTGGGCAGAGATGTTTAGCAGAATGAATGTGAGCTGAGGCGTGGAGGATGCTTAGGAATTTTCTAGAAAACCAGGGAATCAGGTTGGAGTATTTTTGCCTGGGGTGAGAAGGGCATCCAAAGGGAATAGCACGTGCGAAGAGTGAGGGTGAGGATGTGAAGAGGTCGGGGAGCAGCCACAGTTCTTCTGGACCTGAGCAGGGGGAAGAGATCGGCAGTGAGGCTGGGTGGGTGGTAGGTATGGGATGGGCATGTCTGCCCTGTCTGACAGCTAAGGAGCTGCTGCTCTGGCTTGGGGGTCATATAAACAGTCCAGGAAAGGGGAAATAGCTGCCTAGTGAGCCCTGAATGCAAATCCTGACTTTGCTGCCTGAACTTGGACAAGTCTTGCATTCTCTCTGAGCCTCAATTTCCCTTCTGCACCATCTTAGGGTGGTGCCTACTCCTAAGGACCCTATGGGCCCTACAGAAACTTATTCTGTGGCCACTGTTTCTTCACAACTGACAAAAAGAGGCTGCTTTGGTAGATAGGGAATCTCTTTAATGCCCCGATTTCTTGTAGCCACGCCTGGCTTTGCTCTGCAGTGTTCTACCAGCCCTGTCAGGGGCACATGTCCAGGGGCTCCAGTTCATAAGGGAGCCTGGGTTAGCACGCTCTTCTTCAGCTTCAAGCCCTTTCTCTTGTGGAGCCCTGCCCAGGGCAAGCTGGCGTCTCGGGCCTGGGTGTGGGTGTGGCCCAGCTCCGAAGGCTGGGACAGCAGAGGCATCAATGGCATCAGCTCTGAGGCTGCAGGGGAAACAGAGGGAAGCTCCTGGGGATCCACATTGGCATCACTCCAGCCCTCAGAGCTGTCACTGTGGCCATCCGTGCTGGTGGCTTCATCCTCAGATATGGTGACAATGTCAGCTGTGTCTTCCCCTGTATTGCTGTCTAAGTCCCCTGGCCCCTGATTGGTGGCTCCCTCAGACTCTCTGATCATGTGGGCATCTGCTGCATGCCCTGGGTCCTGCTCGGAGTCAGATGAAAGAGCCCTGCAGAGCTTGTCTCTGCCCTTACCGGTCCAGAAGAGGGCGAGCTCTTGGCGGTGGGCAGCCACAGCTAGGCTGGTGAGCAGGGTGCTGGACACCAAGTAGAGCAAGGCAGGCTGGCCCATCTGCATGACAACCATGGCCATGAAAGTGACCAGCAGGCCCACGGCATAGGCCATGGTGCAGGCCACAAAGTAGACCTGGTGTGAATGGATTTGTACGTCAAAGCGGTGACAGTAGGCCACAAGGAAGCCGGGGACCACGATGTCCCCAAAGCCAAGGATGGAGAAGGGCTGGTCGCAGAGGGTCAAGGCCGAGAAGCTTAGCCGGGGCACCTTGAGCACCATGGGCAGCCTCTCTCGGCGAGAGGACTCCGCCGGGCCCATGGCCACCTCCACCATGACGCTCTCACCAGTCTTGGTGAGGAGGGGAGTGACAAAGACAAAGAAGACGTCGAAGGCCAGCAAGGCCAGCAGGAAGGAGGTGCAGCTCTTGAGTGTGGGCAGCCGCACCCGTCTCAGGACAAACAGGCAGTAGGCCACGCCCAGCGCATCCTGCAGGAGCCATGCCCAGCTGTCCTCATTACGGTAGGCAACCCAGAGGATGGTCACCAGCATGCACAGGCCAGCCAGCATCAGCAGGGGTGGCTGCAGGAAGGCCCGGCGACCATGCAGGGACCGCCGGTATTGCCACAGGGGCAAGGAGCGCACCAGGGGGGCCAGGCAGCTGTAGAGGCCAGTGCCAGCACCCAGGCCGAAAATTCCAATCATGACGTAGACGAAATAGTCATAGAAGAAGTAGAGTAGCAGCATGATGGAGCAGGACATGGTGACCACCACACCCGTCATGGCTGGCGTGAAGTCCACTGGCGCATCCTCATCTTCTTCTTCCTCTTGGGGCCCCTGGGCCCCTTCGGCCACTGCTGCTTGTGGCTGATTGTGACCTCCAGGTCCCCCTCCTCCTCCTCGGGCCCGGTGCCGCTGCAGCTGGTCAGCCTCGGTCTGCCCAGCCCAGTAGCCACCAGCGGCCACGGTGCCGACAGCCAGGATGAAGATGACCACCATGTTGTAGTCCATGATGGGCTCTGGGGGTGCGTACAAGGCCACATGGACCACGCCGTCCCCGTAAGTATGACTGAGGATGTCGAGCATGTCGGTGTAGCGGAGCACAGCCACAGGGATGGTGAGGTCGGGCAGGGGCTTGTGGGGGTCCTGGGACGCCAGGGTGGTGTCTGAGCACTGTTGCCCACTGATCCGGCTCACGATGATTAGCCCATGGGCACCCTGGCCCTGAGCCAGCCAGCCCTTGTCGTAGAAGCTGCAGTTGCCCCTCATGACCATGGCAGTGGTGTGGTGGAGGGGCCGCTGGCTAGGGGAGCCAGGCTGGGCCTGGTGGGAAGAGTCCTTGCTCGGGCACCAAGGTGCCATGGTGCCAAGGTGTAGGGGCAGGAGCGGGGCGTGGCGCAGGTCCTGTGGCAGGTTGACGTAGTCAGAGCTATAAAGGACACAGTAGTCCTTGCTCCAGTTCTCCGACACCACATGGACCACGCCATACTCTCCCTGGGCCATGATGTTGTTGAGGAGGAGGAAGCCCACGGGGAGGAGGAAACCCAGGCGCGCCATCCTCCTCAGCCACCTGCTGCGTCCTCCTGAGGTGGCAGCTGTTCACAGCCCAGTTTTCCTCCCAGGAGGTGGGTGTGGCCTTTTGTCACAGAGCAGCTTGGCCGCCTGTCCTGGAAACCAGGGCCACACCTACTGAGTCACAAAGCTGGGCACAGAGTCCCTCCCAGGATCATGGCCCCCAACTCTGGCCACAGTAGAGAGAGGTCCCCCAGGTCCTGCCTTCTGCCTGGGCCCAGGAGGGCTAGACCAGGTAATTGGAAATAAGAGGTGGAGAATGGGGTCAGGGGTGCCTAGACCAGATTCTGGACCAGCTTTGCCCCTTATCATGGGTGACCCAGGGCAGTGCCTTTCTGTTGTAAGGGCTTGTTTCTTCAGTTGCAAAGAAATGAGAATATTGGACCAGGGAGTTTCTACAACCCCCTGGTGCTCTGAGCTCATGTCACTGAGCTCTTCTTCTCCTTCTCCTCCTCCTCCTCCTTCTGATTTTTTGAGACACAGTCTCACTCTGTTGCCCTGGGTACAGTGCCATAGCATCATCATAGTTCATAGCAATCTCAGACTCTTGGGCTCAAGTGATTCTCTTTGCCTCAGCTTCCTGAGTATCTAGGACTGCAGGCGCCTGCCATAATTCCCAGCTAAATTTTCTATTTTTATTTTTATTTTTTAATTTTTGAGACAGAGCCTCAAGCTGTCGCCCTGGGTAGAGTGCTATGGCATCACAGCTCACAGCAACCTCCAACTCCTGGGCTCAAGTGATTCTCCTGCTTCTGCCTCCCAAGTAGCCGGCACTACAGGCACCCACCACAAGGCCCGGCTATTTTTGGTTGTAGCCGTCATTGTTCCTTGGTGGGCTGGGGCTGGATTAAAACCCACCAGCTCAGGTGTATGTGGCTGGTGCCTTAACGGCTTGAACTACAGGTGCTGAGCCTAAATTTTCTGTTTTTTGTCGAGATGAGATCTCGCTCTTGCTCAGGCTAGTCTTGAACTTCTGAGCTCAAGTGATCTGCCTGTCCTGGCCTCCCAGACTGCTAGGATTACAGGAGTGAGCCACTGTGCTTGGACTTGCTGAACACGTCACAGTGCTGGGGATTTTATCTGTATTTGTTGTACAGCTGCAGGGAGGTGTTGGGATACCCACCCAGCCTCAGGGTACAAGCTAACCTTCAAAATTGGTCCCCCTTTCTACCAGACACATGATCAAGACTCTTCCTCTGCCTCCCTTGTGGTTAGGGACGGCTGTGTGACTGAGTTCTTGCTAAGGGGAATAAAGCAGAAATTGTGTGATCCCCTAACATTAGCGGCCTAGGCTGAAAGATTGAGGGGCTCCTTGTCCACTGTCTCTGTTTCTCATGAGTAAGAATAAGGCCAGTGAAGTGGTTTTGACTATGGTAATGAAGACAATATCCTAAAGAATGGGGAGAAAGGAAGTGAAAGGAGCTGGGTCCCTGGGGGTCTGCACAGAGCAGTAGCCTGGGATGCTCATGGTGGACTGTTTGGGGGAGAAGGAGGGGAGAGTGAGAAAGGGAAAGGGGCAGATAGAGAGTGAGGGAGAGAGAAGGAGAGGAAGGGAGAGACAGATGGGGAGAGAGAGAGATGGTCTTTCTTCAGCCATTGACTTATCATGGGTCTCTTGGTTACAACAGCTTAACCTTACCCTAATACACCCACTTCATGGATGAGTAAAACTGGGGCTCAGACAAGCTCAAACTGACACACTAAGAAGTCTGGGGGCTCTTGTGTTGCTTAAGTTTCTGGATTTTGCTGTCTGTCCCCAACATTTCAAGCAGACTCTTGAGTCCATCTCATAGTCACTTCCCTGAAGCCAGGAGAGAACTGGCTAGAAAGAGAACTTGAATAACAGTGAGAGCTGGCTTTGAAGTCAGCAGCCCCAGGTCCTGGCTCTGCAGGTCTCCACCAACTCTGTGGCACCTCTCCCACAGGGTACCCAGGACCTCTTCTCCAGGCTTCTCCAGGCCACCCACAATGGGGTGGAGTTGAGGAAAGAGGTTATCAAAGCAACTGGTGTATATGGGAGGCACCTTGGGGCCCCTGGAAAACAGAATGGGGGGATTTGGAGGCTGAAGGTGTCAATCTTGGTTCCATTGTTCCCACATTCTCCACACTGACTGTAGTGGTCCTGTGCTACCTCACTGCACCAATTGGTGCTTGCTCCTTTTCTCTTTGAAGCTGTGACAACACCCGTGACAGAGTTGTGCTTTGTCACCAGCCACCAGCAGAGCAGCTGGCACCCTCAGTTTGATCTGATCACTGTTTCAAGTCAGGGCACCTCTCCCTGGGGCTGTGGCCCAGGTGTCTGGAGCTGGTGCCAAAAAGGTGGGAGCCACAGCCAGAGAATCTCTGCACAATATTGTGCTCCCCTCCTCGCCACCTCCAAGACCACCTCAGCCCCAGCCCCCAATCCAGCCTTGCTGCTCTGCCCTAAGGTGCAGCCCCTGCCATCCATGGCCTGTCTGTCATTCGGGCCTCAACTCCAATGTTATCTGCATTGGGTGGCTTAGAACAACAGAAACTTATTTTCTTACAGTTCTAAAGGTCAGAAGTCTGCCATGCACTAGAAGTTTGTATCCCCTCAAAATTCATATGTCAAAGCCTAACCCCCAGTGTGATGATATGTGCAGGTGGGGCCTTTGGATTAGGTCAGGAAGCGCAGCCCTCCTGATGGGATTAGTGCTTTTATAGAAAGAGGCACAGGAGAGGTGATCTCTCTTGGCCATGTGAAGATACAGTGAGAAGGTGGCCGTTTGCAAACCAGGAAGAGAGCCCTCACCAGGCACCACATCAGCTGTCACCTTGATCTTGAGCATCCTAGTCTCCAGAACTGTGAGAAATAAGTGTTAGTGTTTAGCTATCCAGTCCATGGTATTTGTTATAGCAGCCCAAGGTGAATGAGTAAGTTCAAAGTCCAGCACAGTGTTGGTAATCCATGCTCCCTCGGAGACTTTGGGTGGGATCCTTCCTTACCCAGCTTCTGGAAGTTCTTGGTGCCTCCTTGCCTTGCCACTGCATCACTCTGATCTCTGCCTAAGTGTTGCATGGCTTTCTCTCTCTCTGCCCCTATGTCTCTTCTCTTCTTATAAGGACACCAGTCATAATGAATTGGGGCCACCCTAGTGACCTCATCTTTATTTTGTCATAGTAGCCTTTTATTTTTTACACCGATTATGCCATGAATTCATAGCGAAAAAGTTTCCAGCAGCTCAGGGGCACCTTCCATTAAATGCGGCAAAACTTGCTATGCCTATTACATCATGAATTCATAGGGAATAGGTTCCAGCACCTTATCCCCCCCTTTAACTGGTTCTCTTGGATTTCTTGGTCCTCCTGTGTGCTATGCCAGTCTACCTATTATGCCACAAATTCATAGGGAATAGGTTCCAGCGCCTCCCTTTCAGCTGGTTCTCTTGGTCCTCTGGTGTGCTATGCTGTCTGCCTATTACACCATGAATTCATAGGGAATGGGTTCCGGCTGCTCAGGCTCCTTTCTGTTGGTTCTCACAAGGTGAGCTTCTCTGGTTGGAGTAGGCTGGAGCTGCGGCTGAACCCAGCCAGGGACCTTTCTCTTTGGTTTCCTTCTCCTTCTGATCGTTTTCCTTCACACATTTTAGGAAGCTATCTCAGCGCTGAGAGTGCTTAATATGCTCAACCCGAACATTAATTCTGTTGGCAAGAATCTTGCCCTAACTTGTTTACAACAATGCCAGGAGCATTCTGGGTAACATTGTAGACTCTTCCTATTTTGCCATGGTGACATTTGTGTGGCATGCCTCTTTGAACAGTACCCATTCCCTTTATGTCTATGTCACCTTTCTTGTAGATTTGCATGTATGTGGCCAAAGGAATAACTCTATGTTTTCTAAAAGAACATGAATCGGATGCCTCTCCTCTGTCCCTTTGTTTGTCATGTTGGCAAATTAGTGGAAGATGGTATCTCTGTCCGAAAGGCTAGTGACCTCATCTTAATTACGGCTGCAAAGACCCTATTTCCCAATAAGATCATGTTCACAAGTACCAGGGGTCAGGAATTCAACATATCTTTTGAGGGACACAAGTTAATCCACAATACACATGTTATTCTGACCTCTGAGTGAGTTTGCACTCACTGACCTGAAGCCCTCCCCTTCTATTATAGGTCCATCCTTGCAGTTCTGAGTCATCTTCCTTGGGAAAATCCACATGGATGAACTACCGTCTCCAACACCAGCCTGGATTCTTCAAAGCTTAAAGGACCTTGTAAAGCGGTCCGCAAAGGGAAACGCATCTAGATTCTGACAATCCTCTGCCTCCCAGTTTTTGGCATTTGTCTCACCCACACTTAATTGGACAGCAATGTTTTTGTGACTCATTTATATGGTGTCCTTTGAAGCACTCAACTCAATTTTCATAAGAAACATCGTGTTTCTCATCTGCATTGTGTGTGCTCTTCCGATTCATCCATTAATGTAACATTTAGTTAGATTACAAACGGTAATTACAATGGCAAGCGAACTGTCAGAAACACATTAGGGAATGAATACAACTGACTGGCGATCGAACCACCAGCTGGTGAGGGGAGACATGGTCAGGGTCAGGAGGAGGCTGCCAGCTGCACCTTCTGAGAGTTCCCATTGCCCACGGACAGTTGGTCTGGAGAGTGTTTAGGGGAGGGAGGCTTGGCTTGTGAGGCTCTCACCATGGAGCACAGCAGTGTCCAACTGGGTGCACCTCTCTGAATCATACAGCTGCTGTGCACAGCAGAGATTGTGGACAGGCAGCCCCTTACAGAGGCCCATGATAATAAAACTCTTCTGGGGCCCCAGCTGCTACTGGTGTGCATGTCCTTCCTGGGGCTGTTTTCCATGCTGGGAATCTTGGATCTTTTAAAAACTAAGGATCTTAGGTTTGGTGCCTAAAGCCCAGTGAGTAGGGCGTCAGCCACATACACTGAAGCTAGTGGGTTTGAGCCCAGCCTGGGCCTGCTAAATAACAATGACAACTCCAACCAA